AGAGCTGACTCTACTTTGAGGAAAGGGATGGTGGCGTGGTCGTAAATCATGACTTTGGCACACGTGTGTAACAAGCACGGGGAATTGCATCCTCCATCTTCCACGGCGGGTCACAGACAGGCTAAGAGGCTTCCGCTACTTTAAGAGCGGTTATTTCCCTGCACCTGGCTGTTGCATGCTGGAGTAACCGGGGGTCTGTAGTGCTTTGGGACTCAGTGCATGGATGTACCATAAGTTAAACAAGAAGAGTCACCAGGTGAATTGGAAAGCACAGGAGCTGGGCTTTATGATAAAACCGAACTGATTTCATTGAGTCAGTTTAGGTCACAAAAGATTTCTTTTTAGCAGCAAATACCGCTTTAGTCTCTGACTCCACAGGTGTGGAGCTCAGCTACAGGTGGCCACGTCCAAACACAGCCCTCCTCAGAGGACAGTGACAGACCCTGGAGAAAGCGGAAGGGGTCTAACCTGAGGACCTGCAGAGTTTCTAATTACGCCGTCGTCACCCTGCACACACTCTCGGTCCCTCCTCATCTTTGTTCCTTCTCACACAGCCGGCCCTTCCCACCCTCCTTAGCCTGCTCAGCGCTTCTGTAGCCACTATTTGTTGCTGCAACTTGGCTGGGAAGAAGCCAGGCCTGGAAGAAACAGAGGGTCCTGGCAAAAACATGGACCGAGAACCCCTACCAGGTCAGTGCCCTACGCACCGGGGCTCTGTCTTAGTCTGCTCAGGCTGCTACAACAAGAACACCGCAGACTGGGTAGATGAAACAACAAACGTGGATTTCTTACCGTTCTGGAGTCTAGGAAATCCGAGATCAGTGCGTCAGCGCAGAGAGGCCGCTTCCTGGTTTCCTCGCTGGGGGGAGGGATTGTGAGAGGAAGCAAGCTCGCTCCTGCGTCTTCTTATAAGCGTGCTAATTCCACCATGGGGACCCCACCTTCATGACCTAATCACCTCCAAAGCCCCATCTACAAATATCATCACACTGGGAATTAGGGTTTCAACATATGGATAATTTGGGGGGAAGCCAGTCAGTCTATAGCAGTCTCCATTAAAAATGGTATGAGATTAGAGGCCAGGTCTTCAGGGACCTGGTTAGCAAAAAGTGGTCCTGCTATCCGGATATGGCCTCCGAGCGCGTGGAAGGGCGGTAGGAACGGAGAAGGAAGACCACAGAGTCCTTCAAAGCAGCTCTCCCAGGAAAACATTCTGGAAATTTCTGGGCTTTTATCTGCTCCAATCAAAATACAGCCTTGCCTTCCAATGATACCAGATAATTAAACCTTAGAACAGGCAACTTTCACACAGTGTTTGCACCTGCAGGAGCGGAGATTTGGTACAGCTGAGACTTTTGGAACAGAAGCCTGTACGAGGCCCACCTGACACAATGGCGGCCTGGTTTGCAGGCGGGAGAGCCTCCCAGAAGTCTCCCCTATCCCACTGGCTACCTCTCGCCCTTCCTTCCACGCCAGCAGGAGGCACTGCAGGACTTACAGGCACCAGCCTTGCCCTCAGAGGCCTGGCCCCAGGGAGGCCCAGCCTCGGTTTACACCCGGAGGAAAGTTGTAATATAGTGAGTTTGTCCCTTGGGTGGAGGGAATCTTGGGCGCTGACTTCTTCGCCCTGACTGCTCTCTCCTTAGGCTTTTGGGTTCCAGCCTGAGCATGCGAGTAATTGTATAATATCTCCTGCAAATTGATTTCTGTCCACAGGAACCAGATGTAGGTCAGGGAAATGCACGGTCAGGATTCCACACAGATGCAGGGGAGGCCCTGAAAGGAAACTCAGGCGCTGAGGTCTAGGCAAGGTGAGCCTCAGGTGCTGGGGCTGCAGAACCACGAGGCCCAGGGCATGAGGAGCTGTCAGAGGTGACCCAGGAGAGGGGGCTGTAAAGGGTAAGCCGGAGGGGTGGGGATTGAGCTGACCACTCATAGGCCCTGGATGACTGGTGGAACCTATTAACCTGTTGGGTAGTTACTCAGCCCCCCGTCAGGTGGCCAGGAGTGGAAACTGGTCTTGGAGGATGGTTTGCTTTACCACTGCAGGTAGCCAGCCGCATGCGCCTTCTCCGGACCTTGCTGCCCAGGCTGGGAGAACGCAGGAAACAGGGAACCGAGCTGAGGGACGCCCGTGGGTGCGAATTCGCGCACACGTGGGCCCGGTGACCAGGTTCTGCAGGGTTATAAGCAGACAGATAGGACGTCCCCAGCGGGGGGCTTTGGTGATTCCCTTTCGGAAAGTTGCTGGACAAAGTGTGGCACTGGCTTGCGCTCTTTTGGGTGGACCGGAGGAGAGCCTGGGGTGGCCCAGATAGTGAAATGAGATTTTTTTTTCCAACTGCAGATTTGCTGGGAACACAGGAGGCAGGACACGGGCCGGGGGCGCAGCCTGAGCGCGGGGAAACTGGTCCCCCCTCGGGGTGGCTGCCGGGCGAGGGAGGCGCTCAGCTCCCGGAGCAGGCGCGGCATTGTCTTCTCAGTTCCACTGTTCAGATGTTGCAGCTTTTTTATGACCCAAATACGTGTTCAGGCCTCTTGTTACGTATTTTAAAAGTTCAGCGACATCCACCCTACACGTCCATGCGCACCAATGCGGATTTGGTGTTAAGCGCGCGCGTGTACACATTAATCCGCATCCCCCGCCCAGTCCCGAATGGGAGAGAGTTGGGCATTGAATTCTGCTTTGCTAGACCCAGTCGCTGCGCACAACAGCTGGCCACTCGTCTCGGTTTAGTAAGCCCCTGGCTCTTCCTAAAGCCTTGGAATCCAGAAGAGCGCGTCTTGCCCTCCTCCAGGTCGAGGGAGGCTAGAGCCTGAGCAGGTGTCTTGGCCTTCCTGGGTCATCCCTAGACAAATATGTGACCCCCCCACCTGGGCCCCTGTGGGGGACCGGAGGGTTCAAGGACGATTGTTTCAGCGCAGGTGGAGCTTGAGAAACCGAGAGACAGGAGGAAAGACTGAATCTCAGTTTCAGATACCGGCCCCAGAGTCCTTTTGGCCGCCCAGGTTTAGAGCCCGAGCTGATAGGAGCCACTGTCCTGCTCTTCTCAGCGGACTCCTGCGGGAGGAGAGGGAGAAACGAGCGGCCGGACTTGCTTTGGGGAATCTTTGTCGCTTTGGGCACGGGCTGTAGACTGCGTGATGCAGGGCGGAACTTGCTCACGGCATCCGGGAGCACCGACGTGGCTGAAACCCTGACAGCTTTGTCACAGACCCCAGGGCGTCACCTGCAGGTGGCACAGCAGCCAGGTTCAGCATCCTACAATCGTTCGCCCAGGAAAAAGGTGACTTCAGTCACATGGACCATTTCGAGGGCACCTGTGACTGTTCCCGACGTCCACTTCCACGGTTGCTTTGCAAGGATCTGCCTACCCAGGAAAGCCGGAAGCATACAGCTTGAGGCTGGAAGAGTGCAGAGAGTGTCTTATATGGTGTGTCGCGGCACTGTGCCCTGTGTCATGTCATCTATGTGTAATGTACCCTTTCTTCCCCACAGTGGCTTTTTTTTTTTTTACAATATCCAGGTGACTTTCTATTTTGGCTACCCCGATGTTAAGTACTCTGGCCATAGAAAATGCCCAATCCTGCAAAAATCTACATTCGTTTCATATGCTTTTCGTGACTGAGATAGGAAATCTTAAGTGGGTTCTCAATAATGCATAAGGCCAGTGTCTTAGAATCCACCTTGGCTTATTTGAGTTGACCTTATCAGTCAAGATCACGGCCTTTTCATTACAATAACCAATGCATAATGTATCAGAGCTTAGTGCAAAGCTTTAACTATGTTTTCAGACAGAAATATTCCAGGAATGCAAATCAGGTGTATTTCGCAGATAAATAACAGTCGGGGGCATTGCACACAGGGAAATTCTCCTCCGTTCTCAGGTTTCCCGAGGTTGCAATCCGGCGCGCGCGTCATTAATCATTCACTGGGGTTGGTCCTTCAGTCGGCGGCAGCTCTGAGTAAGCTGATGCGAGCGAGCCCAGGCATTAGCTAATCCTTCCTGCCGAGGAGATCTGGGGTGAGAAAGGACGACTGGGCGGTGAGCTACATGTGCCGGTGCCCAGCCCTGCGCTCGCCTGGCGCACGCGGACCGAGAGCTCCCCAGCAGGAGAAAGCAATTCTGCACAGCGCACGGCGCAACCGGAGTCGCAGCACAGTGACTCAGGGAGGCTCTCTAAACTCCGAGCCCGTTCCTTAGCTCTTTATCAAACCAGTAACAACAGCAAAAACAGCCTTCGCCCCCACCCGCGTCACCCCGAAGCTTCCCAAGTTGGGCTGCCAATCGAATGCCTGTTTGCTTTTCCGCCCAGGAAAGCACTGGAAGCGCTGGGATCTCCTAGCCGGACGCGGTTCCGGAGGGTTCCCGGGGGAGCAGGTGTGACAGCCGGGTCTGCAGGGCACAGCTAAGGGGACCTGGACATGCGGTGCTCGGTGGGCAGGAGCGCGCCACCGGGGCGCAAGTGCGGTGGGGCGGCGGGAGGGGACTAGAACCCACCTCCCGAACCCGCTTCAACCCCCCGGCTCCCAGCGCTGCCCCCCAGGACTCGGCTGCTCGCGCGGAGCCGAACTCTGCGCGGCGCTGGCGCTCCCGGGGGGAGGGCTGGTCGCGCGCGCTCGGGACCGCCGGGGAGCGTGCCCCGGCTGGGCGCACCCGGCGTCCGGCGCCGGCTTCTCCTCCCACTCACTCTCTCGCACCCCCTCCCTCCTGCGCCCCCGCCCCCGCGCCCGCCGGGCTCCCTCCCCGCACCGGCCGGAGAGCGCGCAAAGCGGCGGGCGAGGGGGGCTCCGCGGGCGTGCGCCGAGCAGTGCGCTCTCGGCTTATAAATCCCCCCGCGCCGGCGCCGCGGTCCGCTCCCTCCACCTCTCCCTCCCCCGGGGCTATGTCCGCCCGGCGCGGCGAGCGGGGCAGCGCCGGAGGCTCGCGGCCGCGCGGGGGCTACGGAGCCCAGAACCAGCCCCGCAAGATGCACTCAGGAGCCCCGCGGCTGGAAGAATGAGCCTGTCCTTCCTCCTCCTCCTCTCCCTCAGCCACCTGATCCTCAGCGCCTGGGCTCACGGGGAGAAGCGCGTCGCCCCCAGAGGGCGACCCGGACCCGCCGCTGCCGCTCGGAACCCGGGAGGCTCCCGCGGCAGCAGCTCCGCGTCGTCCTCTTCCTCTGCCTCCGCCTCCCCCGCGGCTCCTCCGGGCGGCCCGGGAGGCGGCTTGGAGCAGAGCAGCTTCCAGTGGAGCCCCTCGGGGCGCCGCACCGGCAGCCTCTACTGCAGGGTGGGCATCGGTTTCCATCTGCAGATCTACCCGGATGGCAAAGTCAATGGCTCCCACGAAGCCAACGTGCTAAGTAAGTTGCTCGCTTCCCCGGGAGGGCTGCGGCAGATCCGGGAGGGACAGCCGGTGTTCCCTGGGCCTCCCGAGCCCTGGCCGCCGGGACCCCGCTGGCCCCGGACACAGCCGGCCGCCGGCCGGGCGGGCTGGGGAAGTTGCAATCCGGGTGGCTCGCACGCATGAACCCCTCTCGTGGGCGTGAGCAACGGCGAGTCCTGGGGTGCAGGTTACCCAGAGGTTGGTGCCCGGATAAGCACCTCGTTCCCGGTTTGTCCTAGCCCCAAAGACGAGCCTCCAGCCGTGCCTGGAGAAAAGCAAAAATCTTCCTTCTCCGCGTCCGATTTCTGCTTACCTTCTGCTTAGGAACTAGGCTAGCATTTTTCATTAGGCATCAAAGTGCAACCCTTCTGCTTTTCCATAGCTGAAGTTGTTTTCTTACCAGAATTAAATCTCCAATACTTCTCTACTACCATCAACTTGAATGAGTATCACATGTGTACTTGCATATATGTATATAGTGTACACACACATGTGTGTATGCATACATCCTAGACATACATACATATAATGTGTGTGTTAGAGCGGAGGCCAGGTGTTTCTGCTTGGAAGAAGACTGCGATCTGGAACTCTGGACACGTTTAGAGAGGGAGACGTGATGAACATTGAAATCGTCAACTCCAGAGCTGGATTTAGCAACATTTAGTATTTTGAGACCATGACAACACTTTATCAGGAGAGTGGCCAGCCTTTGGTGTCCAAGGACAATTAGGGGAAAGTTCTTTACTTTAGGAGAACTGCAGAGGAGGTTCCATTCGGTACGGGCGCAAATTCTGTAGGACTTTAAAAAAATAAACTAGTTTTACATTTTCTGAGTTTTCTCTTTAGCTCTCTCCCCCTTTTCCTCCTTTGCCACCTTCTCTTCCCTTCCATCCACGTCTCCGGGTCATCACAGCCGCTGCCCTGGCCCCCTCACTGCTTCCAGGCAGCCGAGGGCAAAGATGACGGGGGCTGCGTGCAGGCCTGCGGCGATCTCGGTCGTTCGGGCCAGGTCGCTCTTGCAGCGCGCGGATCCCCGGACAGAACCACAGCTGGGCCGCTGAGATTCCCAGGGAGAGAGAGCGGAGCGTGGCCGGGAGACAGCGCTGCGCAGGCTCTGCTCTCGCTGTCAGCCTGGCAGCTCCCAGTGGCACCGCACTTGCTTGGCGTGGAGAAGTCAGTTGGGGACCGACGACCCTGTGGGGCCTGGGCTCCTTCTTACCCAGGCTCTGGAGGAGAGCGGGCGCCACCGCCGGGCTGATAACCCGGCCGCGGTCTCCGGAGCCGGGCTGGAGGTGCGCGCTGGTGAGGTGGGCGGCTGGCGAAGCTTCCCCAAGAGTTGAGGGGGCCTAGCGTGGAAGGTCTGGTGACTGAGCTGGGAAAGAAGCAGTTGCATGCCCGCCCCCTGCGCCTGCCTGGTCTCTCTGGCTATGCGGTTCCGGCGGGCTTTGCACACGTGGGGAGGTGGCCCGATCACCCAGCAGGAGAGAAAGCCCCCTCCTCACACCCCAGCGAGTCCCAGGGCCTCCTGCACGCTCCTTAGAGGGTCCTGTTTCCATGGTTCAGCGTTCATCTCACTCTTGTCAAATAACTGTCCGCCTTTTGGTGACAGAGTGCCAGGTCTGTTGGGGTGAAGGGGAAATTTCTGAGATCTCCAGAGTAGCCAGTGCTATGTCTGTTTCGGTATTTCTATTTGTCCTCCTCATTTTGTCCTGGCGAGGTCTTTACTCCATCAAACATTAAAGCTTATTCTCCACTTGCAGCAACCTTTCCTTCTTTCTCTTACAGGAAAACTTTCTCTATTCTGCTCTTCTTGTAGTCGGTCCAGGAAATCAGTACCAACAGGGGATAACTTCTGTGTGCCCAAGGAAAGACCCCAGATTAACAGGCAGCAAGCAGTAGGCAGGGGCCCAGGGGGCTCAGAGGATGTGTCTGGAGTGGGTTTTGGTGTGCCAGAGATCTCGGGAAGTAAGGCTCATCCCCAAGATATTCACCCCCTTCTCTACAATGACGCTATAAGAGACAAATACTTTTGGAGCTTAGGCCTTGCTAGAGAGGAAGTTGTAGAAAAGCAAAGGATGGAAAATGAGAACAGATTTAAAAAAAAATGCATGAGATTAAAGAAGACATTGACCACTATCCCTTATTTCCAAAGCACATTCTATTTTCAAATCCATATTGAACACATCCATAAGAGAACAGGGATGTTTCCTTAATGGTGTCTAAATAAAACTTAGTTTAACTAACTTTTCCTAATTCATCCCTTTTTACAACAGCCCTTCAGAATTTAGTCTCTGTGTCTTTCTCATGATTTGCTTTCCTTCACATACTCATTCATTCCTTCATGCACTTAATATAAGATACCTACCTCACTACACATGATAGTTTGGTTGCTTTTGTGTTAGTTTTGTTTGTTCGTTTTGCCTTCCATAGATATTTTTGCACAGAGGAAGGTATAATTTAAATATACCTTTGCGATGTCTGGAGTGTCCAATACTATATAAAATTTTGCTACCAGTGTTCAATAAAGAATTTGTGGAATGTCTTGTGTTTAGTAGGATGGCATGCAATTTGGAAATTCAAAATGGCTCTCTGCCCTTACCTAGCTGTGAAAGAGAAACAGAAGCCTGCTAATTGCAGTTGGTCATTTGCCTCTTTGAAGACAGCACTTGCCTTTTTCCTGACATTCATGTAAACTAGAGTGTTGCTGATAGTGAGGAAGCGTTTGTCTGAGTCTCACAAGAGAGGCTGAGAGAGCTGTATCAGAGACCACAGAGATTCTCAGTTTTACCTCATCCTCTAATTCTATTGTCTGTGAGTTAGCAACAATAGGAAACAGTGTTTTTGTTACTAGCCTGTTACTTCAGAAAAGTGTCAAAGCTTTACCATGAAACTGCATCCTAACAGATCCTTTTAAGCCCAATAATAATCTGTAACATTTTCCTGATAGAAAAAATAAACATATGTGTTTCACAATTATCATTTACCAATTGTGAATGTTTTCTAGTTTCTGCATCAGTTACACTCTGGCCATAGATTTTGAAACATAGTTTGTTTAGTTTAGGTGTACCAATTAATATATTCCTAGCTTATTTTATACCATAGTTATTTGAAGTTTTAAAGACAGAAAATGGAATCACGCTCATTGCATATAAGCCCTTATTATGAGAAAATATTGGGAGAAGATGAAGAAAGTTGAATGAGACAAGACAGGTGATAAGACACAACTATTGCATGGAAACAAAGGGTTTGCTTTAATTTCTGTGCTTTCAAGTTTAGTTTCAATATAATCCTTCTGTTGACTTGGGCCACTGAAGCACAGGCCATCAGGCAATTGTCAGTTTAGGAGAGAAAAGTGTAAGACTAAGGCTACATAAAACCAAAGGTTTCCCATAAAATATGAAAATTCCAATCACATGTTTTAGCTAACAAAACCATAAGTTTTACTGCTTTTTAAAAAATCTGAATTTACTATCAATTTTAGTCTCATGTAGGGTCCATTAGACAGTCCCCCAAGCCTAGAAAAACTAGAATATGTATCTATCTACCGTGTAGAAAAAAGTCAAGTGTAAAAAAAAAAAAAAAAAAAATCGTTACTAATTTAATCAGTGAAGACTGCTACACTGGATATTTCAAGATTCAGATTTGATAACTTGGCACAGTGTATCTGTTGCTGTATGGATGCAAGTAGAGAGACTCCACTTGCAAAATATTTTTCTTTGGGAATTTTCAGATGAGTTGTTGAAAGCTTCTGAATACATGGAATATCTATGTTTTTGCTATATTTTATTCACTAAGAAAAGGGAGAAGTTAGTATAATTGTATCAACCACCATCGATGGAGGCCTATTTAAAAATCTGGAGAGGACTAAGTCAAAAATCTACATATACGTTTTCTTACTGAAGCAAATTTATGTCATAATGCATAACTATCCTTGTAGGTAAGTGGGTTAAATATCTGAGAGATACCAAGACATCCTTGCTTCCTTCAACCTAGACGTCAACTCTGAAATTCCACCAAGAGAGAATAATTCCTTCTGTTAAGCATTGCCCTCTTCTTCTGATCCTTTTAAATGTGAACACTTTAAGAAAAGTAGCACACTGTCATTAGCACTTTCATGTGAATTAATTCACACTGAGCCATCTCCCTTTGCCCCTCAAGCGGGAGAGGACTACAACAGCAGAAGAATACTAAGTGTCCACACATGTGTACACATGGGGTGTCCTGACAAGGGAAAAGAGAAGTAGTGAGAGGATCAATGAAGACAATCGAATTGAGCAAACAATCATTAAGTACTTAATAATCTGTGAGACAAACTTAGCCTTCCACGATTTTGCTTAGGGATACTTACTGTCTTGGGATCCAGAAAGTGAATTGTAAGTTTCCATCAAATTTAATATCACTGATTCCTAATGAAAGGGTCAGGAAATTGCTGAAATTAAAGAAAAATCAACGTTAGAGAAATGTTTTTGAGGGTTTACATATGTATGATTTAATGCACATGGCTTTAAAATATTATGTAGAATTTCTGAAGGAATTACCGTGATTTGTCATAGCAAAATCAATAGGCCTGTGGTCTCTTGGGGAGGGGGGCAGGAAGTTGAATTGTAAGGCTTGTTGAATCTGCTCCAATAATCCGGAAAACAAGACATTGGGAAATCCCTGCTGACATTCCTTTGGAAATTATGATCTTAACAGTGTTCCCAATATTAGGCTATAATTGCATTAGGATTCAGAAGACCAGTACCAAAATTGTCTATGTGAACAATATTTCTTTCATCTAATTTCACCTTTTCTCTCTCTTGCACTTGTCATATTAAATAGAATGATATATATGTGTGTGTGTGTGTATTTTGTAAGCTTTCAGTTAAATATAATTTTCTTAAAGTTATAAA